CCATATAAACACCATTTAATGCAGTTAAGTATTCATTAAAAAATAGTTAATTAGATTTTTAAATGCAGGTAATGTAAGTACCTGAATGTGTCTTGATATCAGTTAATTATTATCATAGAGTATTTCTATAGTGCCAAACTGCACAGCAATTTACAAAATAAAGGGTACAGTTACAAAACCATTTAAAACAAGAGGGTTAGGTTGGCCTTGCTCACAAGTGATACAAGAGATAATAGCAATGTGGCGATGAGTAGTTTGAAAATTAATACTCAACTGTTAGGCACAGGCAGGATAGTCTTTCCTAAAGAGATGTGCTTACAGAGATTGCCTAAAGGCAGACACAGCAGGAAATAGCTGTACAGTTTGAGATATGAAGTTCCAGAAGAGAGAGGAGGATGTGGAGAAGTCCTGGAGGTGAGCATAGGAGAAGGCAACAAGGTAGCTAGAGAGTAGGGGGTCTTGGGAAAAGTGAAGAGAACGGTTTGGGTGCTATTCTGAAACCAGATTTAGCTGGGGGATGAGTTGCGAATGACTGTATATGATGTTGTTAATAGTTTGAAACTTGTATGTTGGGCAGTCAGAAGCCACTGGATGGATTGGCAGAAAGGGGTGTCAGAAAGTGGTTGGTAAGGTGTTTGAGTCTGGCAGTGGCATTCATGATAGACTGAAGGGAAGGTAGCCTGTGTAGATGCAGGTCAATGTGAAGGAAATTGACTGGAGATGTAAAAAGTATTGAATGAGATTATAGACATGGTATGACAATTGTTGTAGATACAGTCAGGTCCATAAATATTGGGACATCGACACAATTCTAACATTTTTGGCTCTATACACCACCACAATGGATTTGAAATGAAACGAACAAGATGTGCTTTAACTGCAGACTGTCAGCTTTAATTTGAGGGTATTTACATCCAAATCATGTGAACGATGTAGGAAATACAACAGTTTGCATATGTGCCTCCCACTTGTTAAGGGACCAAAAGTAATGGGACAATTGGCTTCCCAGCTGGTCCATGGCCAGGTGCGTGTAATTCCCTCATTATCCCAATTACAATGAGCAGATAAAAGGTCCAGAGTTCATTTCAAGTGTGCCATTTGCATTTGGAATCTGTTGCTGTGAACTCTCAAGATGAGATCCAAAGAGCTGTCACTATCAGTGAAGCAAGCCATCATTAGGCTGAAAAAACAAAACAAACCCATCAGAGAGATAGAAAAAACATTAGGCGTGGCCAAAACAACTGTTTGGAACATTCTTAAAAAGAAGGAACGCACCGGTGAGCTCAGCAACACCAAAAGACCCGGAAGACGGCGGAAAACAACTGTGGTGGATGACCGAAGAATTCTTTCCTTGGTGAAGAAAACACCCTTCACAACAGTTGGCCAGATCAAGAACACTCTCCAGGAGGTAGGTGTATGTGTGTCAAAGTCAACAATCAAGAGAAGACTTCACCAGAGTGAATACAGAGGGTTCACCACAAGATGTAAACCATTGGTGAGCCTCAAAAACAGGAAGGCCAGATTAGAGTTTGCCAAACGACATCTAAAAAAGCCTTCACAGTTCTGGAACAGCATCCTATGGACAGATGAGACCAAGATCAACTTGTACCAGAGTAATGGGAAGAGAAGAGTATGGAGAAGGAAAGGAACTGCTCATGATCCTAAGCATACCACCTCATCAGTGAAGCATGGTGGTGGTAGTGTCATGGCGTGGGCATGTATGGCTGCCAATGGAACTGGTTCTCTTGTATTTATTGATGATGTGACTGCTGACAGAAGCAGCCGGGTGAATTCTGAAGTGTTTCGGGCAATATTATCTGCTCATATTCAGCCAAATGCTTCACAACTCATTGGACGCCACTTCACAGTGCAGATGGACAATGACCCAAAGCAGACTGCAAAAGCAACCAAAGAGTTTTTTAAGGGAAAGAAATGGAATGTTATGCAATGGCCAAGTCAGTCACCTGACCTGAATCCGATTGAGCATGCATTTCACTTGCTGAAGACAAAACTGAAGGGAAAATGCCCCAAGAACAAGCAGGAACTGAAGACAGTTGCAGTAGAGGCCTGGCAGAGCATCACAAGGGATGAAACCCAGCGTCTGGTGATGTCTATGCGTTCCAGACTTCAGGCTGTAATTGACTGCAAAGGATTTGCAACCAAGTATTAAAAAGTGAAAGTTTGATTTATGATTATTATTCTGTCCCATTACTTTTGGTCCCTTATCAAGTGGGAGGCACATATGCAAACTGTTGTAATTCCTACACCGTTCACCTGATTTGGATGTAAATACCCTCAAATTAAAGCTGACAGTCTGCAGTTAAAGCACATCTTGTTCGTTTAATTTCAAATCCATTGTGGTGGTGTATAGAGCCAAAAATGTTAGAATTGTGTCGATGTCCCAATATTTATGGACCTGACTGTAACTGAGCAGTAGAGATCTCATCAAAAATTGCATCTACCTTGTTTTTTAAATAATTTTAAATGACTAAAACGGAGGTCCAGTCCGAACTAAAAAAAATTAAAGTCAGCAGCTGTAAAAACTGTAGTTGCTGACTTTTAAAAAATGGACACTCACCTGTCCCTCAATCCCACGGTGTCCTCACTCCAACCGGGTTGACCGACTGTTCTGTCTCCTCAGGACCGACATCTTAAGTGTAGGCACCTGGCTGTGACAGCTTAGGGCTTCACAGCCGGGTGCCCACTGCACATGTGCGAGCAGTGCAGCACTTTGTGAATGGTCCAGTAGTCTTCTGGGACCTGTCACGTGTCCCAGAACACTACGGGGAGGGAAGGGAGAGGACAATTTCCGCTTCTGATCACCTAGGCGACTGCAGCAGAAGTGAGAGCAGGTGCCTGTCAAATTCAGGTACCCCCTCCGCTCCCCAAAGGTGCCAAGCCTTAACGGGGAGCGAGGGACAAAGCCTTAAAGCAGAACTTTCCCCTTTGGGTGGAGCTCCACTTTAAAAGAGTTAGTGAATGGCAGCTGTGGGAGACAAAGTAGAAAGGTAGAAAAGAGTTGGCAAAGATTGGATGGAAGGGTGTTAATGAGAGTGAAAACATAGGTCTGTATGGCAGCACAGAGTGAGAAATTACATTTAAAGAGGGCAGCTTTATACAGGATGAAGTCTTATAGGGAGTTAGTTTTACACCACAATCACTCAAGAGCAGCTATTGCATTTGACCTCTGGTGTTGCCTGTTTGAAATGTTGTAGCAGTGGGGCAAGTGTGTTCAGAGAGGAGGAGAGTGAGCTGAGAAAGGAGTTGAACTGGTGAAGGTTGCTGTTGGTAATAGGTTGCTGGTTGGAGGAATAGGGAGCTGAAAACAGAGTAAATGTGAAACTGATAAGGTTGTATCCAAGAGAGGAAAATGGGATTTGGAGAGGTTGCAAGAAATGCAGCAGCAGGAGAATACAAAGTCAATGGTGTTGCTCAGGAGAACTCAAACAGAGAAAAGGAGGGTCAGTACTCTGAGCCAGTTAGGCTCTGCTACGTGCATGTGTGTTGATCTGGAAAAATGTTGACAGAATAAATGAGGAGAGAAATTATTTTCTTCCTTGTTAAATCCCAGGATGAGGAGAGGGAGGTTATCAAAATGTATTACTTAAATACAGTAGAGGAAAGTGAGGTCACCAACCTTGTCTTCAGCTTTAATTAAAAATATTCACATGTTCTGTTTTCATAAAACGAAAGATCGCATGTTTATAATTTATGTTATTAAAAATAAAACTAATGTTTTATTATTTGTATGCCTTAAACTGTTGTTCCTTATCCATGCTTTACAATATACACAACTTTTGTTTTACAAATAAGCATTTATTACGTGACAAAGGATTCTCAGAGCATTATATGTTAACTAAAGAGACAGCACAGCAGCATGCTTTGGGGCTTGAATGAAACTTAGCATCACATACTAGCACATTATGAAAGACTTAGCTTAAAGCAAAGCCCTTCTAGTAGAGCTGATAGGGCTTCCATCTTCACCCAGTCTTAGTGGAGCTGATAGGACTTCCATCTTCACCCAGTCTTCCTTCTGAGTTTGCGGGCTCCAGCCGTTTAAATGGCTGGGCCGTAATGACGTCACTCTCATGCCTGCATATGGGAGTCACGACTACGGCACAGCACTCTGTGCTCTGAAGGGACGGCATACTCAGTCCATTCAGTGTGCATGCGCCAGTGACATCACCGACTGCAGAAATAGTGAATATCTTCTAAACGGTGCACATTTAAGAGGTAGTCCTTGTACTTACAGATAAGCTTTATTATAAAATGACCTGTAGGTAAAAGTCACCAAGTGGTGTTTTACACCTACTTTAAGCTATTGAGTAACAACTGGCTTCTCCCAGCAGAGGGGAAAGGGATAGTTGAAAACACAAGAGGATACTGAAGCTCCACCTGGCAGCCCTCTTACGAAATAAAACCTGTTAAAGTGGTAGTAAATATGGCCGGGACACATGTTCCACAGGTTGGCTTATAATAAAACTCACCTGTAGGTACACGGAATATCTCCTAAATGTGCACTGTTTAGGAGATATTCACTGTTTTTGCAACCCAACGCATGTACTTTGAAGGGACAGCATACTCATGCTGTCCCTTCAGAGCTCTGCGCCGACCATGACTCCCATGCTCATGTGCGGGAGCGACGTCAGAAGTCTGCAGCTCAGCCATTCAAACAGCCAGAGCCCGCAAACCTAGAAGGAAGACCGGATGAAGATGGAATCCCCATCAGAGGTGACAGTGTACCTCTAGAGGGTTTCGTTTTAAGGTAGGTATTTCATAATGTGCTGGTATACGATGCATACTAGCACATTATGCCTTTACCTTGCAGGGAGAAAGGGTTTTTCTGTTTTTATCCAACTTCACTGCTGCTTTAATATGCAATTTCATGTTTACCTGGGTTTAAAAAAGGAAAACATTTCAATTGTAGTAAGCCTGACAACAAAAATTTATGAAAATAAAAAATAATATAGGGTAATATTGTAATCTCATATTTCTCCTAGGTCGATGAACTGGCAAATCCGGTTACTTGGCTGGATGCTGGTGCACAAGTCTTCTACTCTTTCTCTCTTGCATTTGGTGGCCTTATTTCCTTTTCAAGTTACAATTCTATACAGTAAGTATACCTTTTATACTCATTTTTCTAAAATACTTACTAGAGTGACAGATATATGCCACCAAAATATTTATTTTTAAATATTTATACACTAGCATCAGTCTTTTAATTACCCTCTCTAAATGCCCATTACATCCTACGGAAAACTAGTAGTTGCTAGCATAAATTACCAGGGATGTGAGTGAAGTAGACTTGATGGACAGTACAATTTTCACTAATATATGGTACAAATATGTGGAGCAATGTTGTAAAATGGTGGGAAAATAAAAGTGGCCAGGAACACATATCCCTTTTCTGCTCTTTTTAGTGAAAAGGGAATACAATAACTTGGATTTTTGACCCTTGGGCTTTGCTAGTGATACAAAATACCAAAGAGGGACTCCAAAGAGGCTAAAGATGTAGTGCTCACAGTACATTGTAGTGAATGGTGGGTGTGTCCACACAGTATTTACAGTGGGAGGGGCTTAACAGAACATAGGTAAATAAAACCTGAGCATACATTCTGTATACCCAACACACTTGAGCCACAGTCCCGATACCTAAAAAAAATAATACACAAAATATGCTTTAATTACTGTGCCATGAGTAAGAGTTTCACAGACCCAAGTAAACCTCAGCACAATCATTTTGAAAAACTATAGTGCTTCCATTACATATGTTTTTCTGTCCACAGAATATAGGCACTTCATCTGAGGCTTCCTTAAAAAAGCATTTCATTAAACTAGTAGGGGGCTAATTAGCAACATGCAACTGTTGAAACAATGAACACTTCAGTCAGAGGTCAGGAGTATGTAATTACAATATAGCATATAGAGCGCAGGAGTCTGGAATAAATAAAGTACAAAGTGCAGTTACTAGGAGTATGTCAAGTACAATACAGCGAACAAAGTGCAGCAGCCTTACGTGTGTACTATACAACAGTAAAGGGTATCAACCATGCAGCAAAAGGTAAACACTATAGCTATCAATAGTATATAATGTACATTATACCTTACTCCTGACTACTGGAATCAGCTTGCGGTGCTGTGCATACTCCTCACCTCTACACTCTGTAGACTGCATAAATGTATGATTATAACTGCTCCATTTTCTTTACACCGACCTGTATATTACATACTCCGGACTACTAAATCTTGTATACTGTGTTGTATTTTACACACTCCCAACTGTTGCACTCCTAATATACAGAGTGGTCATGCTTTTTAACCTATAGCCCAGGGTACAGAGTTCAGGGCTTTTGAATATGCGATGTACACCCCATTGCAGGGGCGGACTGACCATTTGGAAACTCAGGCACTGCCCGAGGGCCCGGGGTCAGTAGGGGGCCCCATGAGATGCCCCTGGTACCTTTTTCATAGGCTTTTTTTGAGTTTAGGCAAGGACACAGGGGCCCCATGATCCTCTATTGCCGGGGGCCCCATGAGTTGTCAGTCCGCCCCTGCCCCATTGCACAGGGTGAAGAACTCAGGAGCAGGGGCGGACTGACCATTTGGAAACTCGGGCACTGCCCAAGGGCCTGGGGTCAGTAGGGGGCCCCATGAGATGCCCCTGGTACCTCTTTCATAGGCTTTTTTGAGTTTGGGCAAGGACACAGGGGCCCCATGATCCCCTATTGCCCGGGGGCCCCATGAGTTGTCAGTCCACCCCTGCTCAGGAGTACAGTCCAATGGGCAAGTAGATAACATATGTAAATAGATTTATGTAACATATAACACTACATACTCCTGACAGACCTACTCTGTATGATATGTACATAGTAAATTACATAATCCTGACCTCTGCAACCTGAATGCAGTGCCATACATCACACATTCTTGACCTGGACTCTGTGAGCTGTACTGATTTTTCCTTAACCTTAAGCAAAAATCTCTGCATTCTCCACCTTTTTCAAGGCGATCGACAAGGAACAGTGACAGAGGAGAGGTCTATATGTAAACAATACACATCTCTCCCCTGTCAGCCCAGTATTCTGCTTTGTATTACTCTCAATATAAAGCAGCTTGCTAACACAGTAAAGCACACAAAGACAACACAGTAAAACAGCACACAGTTAACCCTTTGATTGCCCCAGATGTTAACCCCTTCCTGCCCAGTGTCACTAGTGCAGTGTCAGTGCTTTTTATTAGCACTGATCACTGTATTAGTGTCAGTGGGGATGTCAGCCCCTCCCAGTGTATTGCCCGCCGCAGTCCCACTATAAATCGCTGATTGCCACCATTACCAGTATAAAAAAAAAAAATTCCAGTATATATACCGCCATTTGTAGATGCTATAACTTTCACGTAAACCAATTAATTTACATAAATTGGGAATTTTTTGTAGCAAAGACGTATCAGAATACATTTTGGCCTATATTTATGAGGAAATTTGATATTTTAATTTTGTTTACTGGATATGTTTTATAGCAAAAAGTCAGAAATATTGTTTTTATTTCAAAATTGTTGGTCTTTTTTTGTTTGTAGCACAAAAAATAAAAAACACACAGGCAATCAAATACCACTGAAAAAAAGGCTCCATTTGTGGGGAAAAAAGGACATAAATTTCATTTGGGTGCAGTGTTGCATGACCGTGCAATTGTCAGTTAAAGTAACACAGTGCTGTATCACAAAAATGGCCTGGTCAGGAAGGGGGTAAATCCTCAGGAGGGCAAGTGGTTAAAGTGGTTGTAAAGCTTCATTTTTTTTAAAATTAAAATAACAAACGTTATACACACCTGCTCTGTGCAATGGTTTTGCACAAAGCAACCCTCGATCCTCTTCCTCTTGGGTCCTTCACTGGCGCTTCTGGCCCCACCCCCCTGCCGAGTGTCCACAGAGCAAACTGTGTTCTCTGGGGGCACTCGTGCATGCTCACTCCAAAGCCGGCCCTGTATGTCATACGGCTGCCAACCTCGCCATCTCCAGCAGCATCTTCAACAAGGCAGATGTCTCCTCCCCAGCTATTGGAGTGGAAGAAAAAATTGTCACTCAAACACCCCTGAGTCCAGCATCTCAATGTCAACTTGGAAAAAGTCCTGGCTTTACAGCTACTGGAGCACACTCTTTATGCTGTAACAGACTGAGCTTTGAAAGCCCAACAGTAGACGGAGGAGAAGACTTTCCTGCTTTCTCAGGACCAGCGGGATCCTTTTACAACTGACTCGGTCTCTGTGAGGTTGTGACAGCAGCAGGCAGAGGAGGGGTTATGGGGAGGAGAAAGAAGGTTGGGGTGCTGGTAGTTGGGAGAAAAAGGATTGTGGGGCAGACTTCCCGGGGTTTGTTTCACCACTACCAAACCCTGGGAGCTGTACATAGGTGGGTGAGATTATTACTTACTAGTACTTACATAGTGTGCAAGGAGATGGAAACGTATGTGGCCATTTTAAATGTTACTCCTTTTTCACACATGCAAAAAGCTAACAAATGTCAAATAGCTCCAAAAACTTTAGAAAAAAAATCCCATTTTTCTTTTCAGTACACCAGCACTTAGTGTACGTGTGGATGCTGATGCAGACATCTCTTAACAAAGCACATTTTGAGTGAATTTTTATGCTGACTGGAGTGCATGTATCCACAAGCATCATGGGCCCATATTATTATTATACAGGATTTATATAGCGCCAACAGTTTGCGCAGCGCTTTACAATATAAGGGAGACAGTACAATTACAATACATTTCAGTACAGAAGGAATGTGAGGGCCTGGCTCGTGGAGCTTACAATCTAAAGGTTGTCATTATTAGAATTTATCTGAAAGTCTGATCATATTTTGGTAATCATTCATGCAAAATAATTTGCAAGGGTTCAGAAGATTTCACTACGTTTGTAGTTAATGTCTACCAAATTGCAATTGCTTTTGTAGCAAAGCTACTTCACTAATATGATGCACAGAAATGAATGTATTTCTATTTTACAGCAACAACTGTGAACGGGATGCTGTAATTATTTCTATCATTAATGGTTGCACATCGTATATTCTGCCACAGTTATTTATGCAATCATTGGATTTCGTGCTACAGCTAGGTTTGATGACTGCTTTGCCAGGTGAGCAATGGAAAGTAATCCTAATGTTGTTCTTTATATAAAAAAAAAAAAGGACAAAGGGTTGGAAAATAAAGTCTGGGAGTAAGTAACGGAAAGGCTGGAAAAGTAAAACTGAGCTTGTAGGAGAGTTATTGGGTACATGGTACTAATCTTGCCTGTTTACACATTTAGATTGAAGAACTAAAAAAATGAATTACTATAAAAGGAGACACTGTATATTATTGTTTTATTATTAGGGATGATCTTGGCAAACTTGATTTTACAGTGAAATAAGTGGTTTCATGTTTATCAATTAAATAAAAAAAAAATTGGTCTACAAAAAAAAGTACTGTAAAAATGCAAATTGAAGATAAAAATTAAAACAAAACAAAATGTATTCTCATTGCTTTAAAACAACAGCTGTGTGATATTTAAAGCCATTGCTCATCTCCCTCCCTCTTCACTCAGCAAGAAAGCTTTGGTGTACGTTTATCAAGCAGCGGTAATTGACCGCTGCTGAGTTCTCTGGCATACTCAGAGGAGACAGTTCTCCTTTTAGTGCCTGTTTATGAAGCTGTGTAGATCCTTTTCCTGATGAGGAGAAAAGTGATCTACAAACACTTTGAACTCTGAAAAACGGCTGCTGTTGCTGTAATCTCAGGAGATATAGTGAGATTACAGTAACAAGCGATCAGTAAAACACACAGCCGTCAGTTTATTAAGCAGCAAAACTCTGCTGAGTTGGCGGCTCTCCTCAAAACACACATACACAATAATAAAATATAAATATATATATATATATATATATACAGTTATTAATATTATTATACAGGATTTATATGCACCAACGGTTTGCTCAGCACTTTACATTATAGTACAATACAGTAACAATACAGTAACAATACAAGAGTGAATTGAGGGCCCTGCTCCTTGGAGCTTACAATCTAGGAGGGAGGGGTGAGTGGTACAATAGGTAAAACTGTGGGGGATGGAGTACTTGGAAGCGTAGGGGATTCCAGTGTTAGCAGAGGGCGGGATAGGCTTCCCTGAAGAGATAGGTTTTCAATGATCGTCTAAAGGTAGGTAGAGTAGGTGATAGTCTGATAGATTGGGGTAGGGAGTTCCAGAGGATGGGTAACGCCCTGGAGAAGTCTTGGAGACGAGCATAGGAGGAAGAGGAGATGAGGGAGCTAGAGAGTAGGAGGTCTTGCGAGGAGCGGAGTGTACGGTTTGGGTGATATTTAGAGATAAGATCGGATATGTAAATTGGGGCAGTGTTTTGTGGATGGCTTTGTATGTCATAGTTAGTGTTTTGAATTTTATCCGTTGGGCAACTGGGAACCGGTGGAGGGATTGGCAGAGAGGGGTGGCAGATACAGAGCGGTTAGTGAGGTGGATGAGTCTGGCAGCAGTGTTTATGGTAGACTGAAGGGGGGATAGCCTGCGATGAGGTAGGCCAATGAGGAGGGAGTTACAATAGTCGAGCGTGATATGACAAGGGAGTGAATAAGTTGATTGGTGGTTTCTGGGGTTAGGAATGGTCGTATCTGGGAGGTGTTGCCAAGGGTGAAGTCTACAAGATTTTTTCAGTGATTGGATCTGGGGCTGGAAGGACAGATGGGAGTCTAGGATTACACCTAGTACCCTGGCATGAGGGGATGGACTTATGATTGTGTTATCAATATTTATGGTGAAGTCAGTGGAGGTGGCACGGGCAGGGGGGTAGGGGGGCAGGGGGGAATACTAGGAGCTCAGTTTTGGAAAGGTTGAGTTTGAGGAAGTGGAGTGACATCCAACCCAATATGTCACTTAGTAGGCTAGCAATGCGGGTGGAGACTGAGGGGTGAGGTGAGGGGTAGACAGATTTCATGTCATCAGCATTGAGATGGTAATTGAAGCCATGGGAGTTTATCAAGTGACCAAGGGAGGAGGTGTAGATGGAGAAGAGAAGGGGTCCAAGGACAGAACCTTGAGGGACCCCTACAGAGAGAGGGAGTGAAGAGGAGGTGGCAGCGTTATAGGTAACACTGAAGGAGCGCTGCGATAGATAGGAGGAGAACCAGGAGAGAGTGGAGTCTCTGAGGCCAAGAGAGTGTAGTTTTTTGAGGAGGAGGGGATGGTCAACCATGTCAAAAGCCGCAGATAGGTCGAGTAGTAGGAGTATTGAATAGTGGCCGTTGGTTTTTGCAGTTAGTAGGTCATTAGAGAGTTTTAGTAGGGCAGTTTCAGTGGGAGTGTAGAGGGCGAAAGCCAGACTGTAAAGGGTCGAGAAGGTTGTTGTCAGTGAGGTGGGAGCTCAGACGATTGTAGACTAAGCATTCTAGGAGTTTAGCGGTAAATGGCAGCAGGGAGATGGGTCTTAGGTTGTTCAGGTTGTGGGGTCTAGGGAGGGTTTTTTAAGTATGGGAGTGATGTGCACGTGCTTTAGAGGGGAGGGAAAGGCACCTGTAGAGAGGGAAAGATTGAAGATGTGAGTGAGGGAGCATAGGATGGAGGAGGAGGGTGTCGGAAGGAGTTGTGAGGGGACAGGGTCCAGGGGGCAGGTGGTGAGGTGGGCGTCTGAAAAGACCTTGAGGACCTCTTCGGTGGTAGCGAGGTCGAAGGAGGAGAGTGTTGAGGGAGGTATGGCATGAGGAATGCTAAGTGGGGTGGGTGTCTGTGTAGTGGCGATGTCCCTGATGTGTCAATCTTGTTTTGGAAGTGGTTTGCAATCTCGTGGGTAGTGAGTGAGGCGCTGGGTGGTGGTGGGGGCGGAGAAAGTAGAGAGTTAAAGGTAGAGAAGAGCCGACGAGGACTCGAAGAGAAGGTATTGATGAGAGTGACAAAGTAGGCTTGTTTGGCAGCGTGAAGTTAGGTCCATATATTTTTTGGACACAGGCACAATTTTATTTTTTTTCAGGTATGGATATGGGCTAAAAGTGCACACTCTCAGGTTTAATTTGAGGGTATGTACGTCCAAATTGGAGGAAGGGTTTAGGAATTACAGCTCTTAAGAGTAGCCATCTTCCCTTTTTCAAGGGACCAAAAGTAATTGGACAATCAAATCATAAGCTGTTTCATGGCCAGGTGTGGGCTACTCCTTTGGTATTTATTCATCAATTAAGCAGGTAAAAGGTCTGGAGTTGATTCTAAGTGTGGTATTTGTATTTGGAATCTATTGCTGTGAACCTACATCATGCGTTCAAAGGAGCTGTCCATGCAAGTGAAACAGGCCATTCTAAGGCTTCAAAAATTAAACAAATCCATCAGAGAGATAGCAGCAACATTAGGAGTGGCCAAATCAACAGTTTGGTACATTCTGAGGAAAGAAGAACGCACTGGTGAGCTCAGCAACATAAAAAGGCATGGACGTCCATGAAAGACAACAGTGGTGAATGATCGCAGGATCCTTTCTATGGTAAAGAAAAACCCATTCACAACATCCAGACAAGTGAAGGACACTTCCCAGAGTGAGCATATCATTGTCAGTCTACAATCAAGAGAAGACTTCATGAGAGCAAATACAGAGGGTTCACCACAAGGTGCAAACCATTCAAAAGAAAAAAGTGTGCAGAGGGCTTGGAACAGCTCATGATCCAAAGCACACAACATCATCATCTGTAAAACATGGTGGAGGCAGTGTGATGGCATGGGCTTGCATGGCTTCCAGTGGCACTGGGTTATTGGTGTTTATTGATGATGAGACAGAAGACAGAAGCAGGCAGATGAATTCTGCAGTGTTTAGAGATATACTGTCAGCCCAGATTCAGCCAAATGCAGCAAAGTTGCTTGGATGGCGCTTCACAGTACAGATGGACAATGATCCAAAACTCACTGCAAAAACAAGCCAGAAGCTTTTGAAGGAAAAAAAGTGAAATATTCTGCAATGGCCAAGTCAATCACCTGATCTCAACCCCATTGAGCATGCATCTCACTTGCTGAAGGCAAAACTAAAGGCAGAAAAACCCACAAACAAAGAACAACTGAAGACCGCTGCAGCTAGAGCCTGGCAAAGCATCAGAAAGGAGGAAACCCAGTCTTTGGTAATGTCCATGGGTTCCAGACTTCAGGCAGTCATTGCCAGTAAAGGATTCTCAACAAAATATTAAAAATGAACATTTTATTTATGATTATATTAATTTGTCCTATTTAATTTTGGTCCCTTGAAAAGGGGGGGATAGCTAATCTTAAGAGCTGTAATTCCTAAACCCTTCCTCCAATTTGGACGTACATACCCTCAAATTAAATCTGAGAGTGTGAACATTCAGCCCATATCCATTATATAACTATAGCTTGGAAATGTTTTGGTAAATACCTAAACAAATCTACAATTATGCCTGTGTCCAAATATATATGGACCTAAATATATATATATATATATATATATATATACACAGTATCTCACAGAAGTGAGTACACCCCACACACGTTCCTGCGTTAAAAATGGTTGTGTGTATAAGTGGGTGATGTAGTGACTGTTGGCTGGAACAGAATCAGCAAAGAAAATGTCACCAGCACACCGAGGATCACCAATATGGGTCCAAAAGTTTTAATGAACGATCACAGAGTTACAGCAGGGCAATGTTTCGGAGTCCCACAGGACCCCTTCATCAGGCCTGCGAGACTCCGAAACGTCGTCACCTTGCTGTAACTATGTGATCGTTCATTAAAACTTTTGGACCCATATTGGTGATCCTCGGTGTGCTGGTGACATTTTCCCTTGTTATTTCTTCAGTGTTTTCACATGAAAAGATATAATAAAATATTTACAAAAATGTGAGGGGTGTACTCACTTCTGTGAGGTACTGTGTGTGTTGTGTATGTATGTATGTATGTATGTGTATTATGTGTGTGTATATATATATATATATATATATATATATATAAAACAATTCTCAGCATAAATGTTTTGCATGTAGATAAAATTGTTATATAACAAAAACAATCTAAAAGAGTGCATGAAATAAATTGATTTGTGTTAAAGCATATCAAAAACAAACAAAAAAGTTGTATATTGAATCTTACCTGTGCTTACATGTGGTAGCTGTCTTTTAGAGCTTTTTTTATTTAATTTTCACCTGGT